AACATTTCTCCCGACGTTACATACGAAATATTCGGTATGCATACAATAACATGAAATTCTAGCAATGTAAAATATATACATATTGCATGTTTGGGACACAAAATATCCCGAATGTATTTAACGGTCTCTTAAAAGTAAATCAAATCTTAAGTAGATTTAAAGTCAAACAAACGCAAAACAACTTCCACCTTATTATATGCATCCGATTACAAATATAATTACATTTAATAGTGATACATTGCAGTTATAATTTTATCTATCTTTTTAATTATGGAGTTATGTCCACCTGTCCCTGTCTACCCGAATTCCTAAGCTATCCGTATTCCGCTGTACGAGTATAGTCTTATCCATAGTTCCTACCTACCCGCGTTTCAGCTTTTTATTAATAAACCTGCACGTCTTTCGTTAAAACCGCGACGCGATTTATAAAAGGTCCGATTTGGGATTATACGCGCGCGAATTAATAGGGATTTAATAGGGATCTGATAGAAGTCTTTTTAATCTCGCACACATATGCGAGATGTAAAGAATATAAGAATATAACCCACCCGAATTCTGACAAATAAGAAATCAACGAAATCAACTTGTTTCGTACATCACCTTACTTACATACCCCATCAAAGTGGCCAATATTGACCACTTACCCCATCGTATTCAGTTTTCCCTCGTCGGGCCAGATTGGACATACCTTTCGTTGCTCCCGGCCATACAGTCTGGTCATTTTGACCAGAGATCAGAAAGGAAGAAAGTTCCTTCCACAGTCGGTTTATTATCGTCACCGACAGGTATTTCGTACGGTTCGAACTATATGCGAGCGTCGATCGTATCGAAATGCACGAGCACGAGAAGTTAATTAGAGACAAAATTGATTTAAAAAATTTGCTGTATAAAACACTTCAAATATATTTCTACTTCCGTTATTTAATCGAGAATAGATAATGACTTTCGTGACTCAATCTTTAAATTCAAAGTTCACGTATATATTATATGTATGTAGGAAAAAAACAATTTACTTCGCGTTGTATTTATTTTAATTACATTCCGCGATAAATTTAAATTTATAATATGGATAAAATTAAGCAATTAATAATTTCTTGGAAATTTCTTGAAAAGCTGATCGCGAAAACCGACCGCGAAAATACGAAGATGCGTTGCACTATGCATGTATTCATGCGAGACGCATCTTGAAAGTTTATCGCGAGATACACACACAGAATAAATGACGTGAGATCCAGAGAAAAGAAACTTTCCGTACGATAGGTAAACCGACAATTGAACATTCTAGTTAATCAATAATCTCATTAACGTATGAAAATAATATAAAGTTTCAGCGTTTTCGACAAAATCTTAGAATCTCACGTCATATGGCATTTTACTTTACGTACATGTATAAATTTGCTACTGGGAAATGGATAGAATAGGTTACAAGATATTAGCTCGACGAATACATCAATAATACACAGTAAAAAATAAAATGTTAATGTTAACATTTTTTACGTGTCCGAAAAAGTCCACTCTCAATTTTAAGTTAAAATAACATTTATCGGGTATGTTGCTTTTTGACAAATTATAAATGTTAATCAACACTATATTTCACATTTATGTTCTTTCAACCTTAAGTGGGATGTAATAAAAATAGACAGGAGAAGTAAAATGTACGAATAGTTACACATCAGAATAATTGAAATAATTTTTAAGAGATGTCAAGATTACATGTGTGGTTGATTTTGTGAAATAGTTGTGTTAAAAAAACTCAAAATAATATTCAATTTTTAAGTAACATACATAAAGTGTCAGGTTAATATGTTAACATAAATATAACACACAAAAGTGTTACGAAAATAATAACATATATATAATTTATGTTAATTTTACATTGAAGTAAGAATCAAATCTTGGTGACACAAGAAAATTTTAACATTTGAACACACGAATTTTTACTGTGTATTCGTCATATTTTGCGTAAAAATATGTGACGTGTGTTGCAACGGAGCACCCAACCCTCCGCAATAAAAATCGCGATCATTCCCCTTCGATAAATGAAATATATTAAAGTTAACATGAAATTATATTGTAATCTATCCATTTTTAGGTAACGAATCTCTAGAATATATCAATCTAAGTATCTACATTCTACGATTTACGAGATTCGTTACCTCAATAAAAAACTACTCACTCACCGACACCGACGCGCAGCAGCGGAGTTGGCTACGTTGAATCTGTAACACAAATATAGAATTTGTTAAAGCAGTGTTCAATGTGGAAACTAATATTGTAAAATGTATTTGCAAAATATAGTTATCGCTTAAGTAATTCTTAAGCGTATCAAACTTTATTCGATTAAATGTTTAAATGACTAACGCGCGAAAGATGTTTCGCAAGAGATCTTCACGCGAATAAACTTTTATAAAATTTTAAATGGTTTCTTCTTCTCTAATTATTACTTCGAAATTATTGAATTGTGAAAAGAAACGACTCAACAATAAACTAGAAAAGATTGCTTTTACACAAAATGAAAAGTAACATTTACCTTAAAGTTGCTCCGCCGGTGCCTGATGCCTTTTCCAGACCTCCTCCTCCACTCAGATTGTCTGGCACACTCGCGAAAACACCAAAATCGTTCGCGCGATTTTACGCTCCTGTTAAAGCCCATGTGAAAGTACGTATTCTGTTCCGTCAAGTTCGCCTCCACTTCGAGTCGGCGAGTATTGTGTCCCAAAAACTGCCGAATCTCAAAAGTGTGGCTATCGACAGGAACGGACATTTAACGAATACTTGTACCTCAAATGGGCTTTGCAAAGTCTTTAGTTCGATTATCTAAACGGCACTCCCGAACGCGACGAAAACGGAAACTTTATGTTGTACGCGCACTTCTGTACGTATAATTGTTCGAGAGATTATTTCTTGACAAGCGATCGATATATTAATTATAGTTTCACGTTATCACTTTATCCGACGATTCGTGTATCACCTTGCGTCGTCGATCGTATTTTCTCTTCCAAACACGCGTGGTATTCATCGCGACGAATCACCGTAGGAATCGACGATACGACTACGGCACTACGGATCGCGACAGGCACTTAAACGCGATTGACGAGTGTTAACGCACGGAACAACCAGCCCGCTTGACTGATCCGCGACGACTAATTCGGGTCAATAGACCGTTTTCGACCGAGGTGTTTTTACGGCGCTACGTCATTTCGTGGAATTCGGCGCTCGGCTGTCGGCCGAGTTGTTTACGCCGCTCGGTCTAGCGCTAGGTCGGTTTTTTCGGTATTGGCGCTCGGCGAAACAACAAGGTCACGCGGCAATTGAACGAGTCAGTTAGGCTGCGGTCCCATGGACTGATATTTCTCGCGTAACGCGTATCGCGTAACCAGTCATAGACGTTCCGCGTTTTCTGTTACGCGAAATTGAATGTCCTTAGTGCACATGGAACACAAAACAACAGCAGCGTATCGGATACAACCAATGATATCTATCAATTCTCTTGGCACGTTCTAACAGAAATTCTAAATGTTACACTTCATTGGTTACGCGAGTATCTACTACGCAAATTTTTCGTCTATGTGAACGATGACATTTGACACAGGCGTAACAGAAAACGCGGAACGCTTCTGATTGGTTACGCGATACGCGTTACGCGAGAAATGTGAGGGTGCTTTCACATGGAGCGTAAGTTGCGTAGCGTAACCTGCGTATCACCGATCACAGGATCATGCTGATAGAACCGTTTCAATGGGTTTGTTTTCTGTTCCTGCACTGGTGAACTAGTGCAGTAAGCTAGAATGAGAAAAAATATGCTTGTCTTACTCCAATTTATTGCACTAGTTCACTAGTGTAGGAACAGAAAACAAGCCTAATAATTCCGTTGAACTAGTCCTGTGATTGGCGATACGCAGGTTACGCTACGCAACTTACGCTCCATGTGAAAGCACCCTTATGCCCGCGCCGTTCCGCATAATCGTATTAAGCCTCGTCTACATAGAAGTCGTGAAGTCGTAGTTGTAAGAATAGTCGACTATGATTGGTCAATTCTTGTGTGTCTGACGAAGTGAAAATTCTCGAGGCTCCAGCACGCGTCGAGCCGGTGCAAACTTCGCGCGGTTGACCTAACCTAGAAACAAGGTCTCGCGGCCGTCGATTATGCACCGAATAACGTCAGACGTACGCGTGTCGCGCGACGTGTGTGTGTGTGTGTGTGTGTGTGTGCGTCCCGACTGTCCCGAGCAGTGATGCAAATTCCGATTCTTTTACAGCACGATGTGGTCGGAGAGGGGATAACGCACACAAGCGAGCAGCCGTATCCGTGTGCGCCCGGCGCATGCCCGGCGCGGCGCCGGGCGCACACGGACACGGCTGCTCGCTTGTGTGCGTTATCCCCTCTCCGACCACATCGTGCTGCAAAAAAATCGGAATTTACATCACTGGTCCCGAGTCGCCGCGATAAGATGCGAACGGTCCTCCGCTCCGCGCCGCGTCATCGATCACTGATCGAGGAAAGTTCGGAGCGCGTACGGATCGCATCGCGTGTCGGCTCTGGCGTTTCTCTCTCGCTGCGGCAAAAGTGTATTTATGAACGATGTTGAGCGGAGGTCGTTATCTTCTCAGGCATTTTCGGCCCTTCGTGAGATTCTATCACGAGGAGGCGTCCGTCATCGGCAGCGCGCCGGATACCACCTCACCGGTTTATCAGGTTAGGAAGTACAGTTGTGCGCGTAGTAATTGTAGAATGAGCGTCCTATTGAATAAGCTGAAGCTTGTGAAGAGAGGAGAGAGAGAGAGAGAGAGATTTAAGAAGACTTCCTGTCTCTGTCTTACACCGTCGCAAAAGAAAAGAATCGTGCCTGCGCTAGCACTACACAGGCGTGATTCTCCCTTGTCACGATGGTGAGACAGAGAAAGAAAGTCTTCTTGAATCTTCTGTGTGTGTGTATCTCTCTCTCTCTCTCTCTTCACAAGCTTCAGCTTATTCAATGGGTCGCTCAGACCGGTATTCATCTCCGTAGCCAACAAAATGTTCCATACGGCATCTTTAGATAGTTTCAAGGCGATCTTGAATGTAAGATCCGACTATGGATACCGGTCTCAGTCTACATTTACTGTGTCTATGGTCTTGTCTTCCTTTTGTTGAACTACACTCGACCTCGTGTTGTTCTGTAAAACCTATGCACGAGAATCCTACATTCGACATTACGAATAACATTAACTTGTGTTGAACGCGTGTCTCTTGCTTTGATTAATTTTTTTACAGACAGACGCGTAATGTGAACGAATTGCGCGTCTATAGGTTTGCCACACAAATGTGATTATTCTTTTAATATTGCAGGAGAATTACGCGCAAATGAAAAACATTGTCGACCAGTTGAAAGACACTGTGGAGAAGATAGTTGAGGGCGGTGGACAGAAGGCCAGGGAGAGACACGTAAGCAAGGGGAAGCTGTTACCACGGGAACGAATAAATACGCTTTTAGATAAGAATTCGCCTTTCTTAGAGTTCTCGCAGCTGGCGGGCTACAAGATGTACGGCAAGGAGGAAGTGCCAGCGGGAGGAATTATCACTGGCATCGGGAGAGTCGAAGGGTACGCCAGTGAATTGCAACATCAATATTTCAATCCCTCTTGTGTTTCAACCAGATGTTTCTTTCCAGCACCGAATGTATCATTATTGTAAACGATGCCACTGTCAAGGGCGGGACGTATTATCCCATCACGGTCAAGAAGCAGTTACGAGCTCAGGAAATTGCGGAGGAGAATAGATTACCTTGCATATATTTAGTCGACAGCGGAGGCGCTAATCTACCCAGACAGGCCGGTGTGTTTCCCGATAAAATGCACTTCGGCAGAAGTTTCTATAATCAGGCAAACATGAGTGCCAAAGGGATAGCCCAGATCGCAGTCGTTTTGGGAAGTTGCACAGCAGGTTTGTCATTTTGTTTCGTTGTCCATTCGCGTCTTGGCTTTTTGTACATATTTGTCACTTGCAATCGTATTACAGGCGGCGCGTACGTTCCCGCTATGGCGGATGAAAATATTATTGTTGGCAATCAAGGTACGATATTTCTCGCTGGCCCGCCGCTGGTAAAGGCCTCGACCGGCGAAGAGGTTTCAGCGGAAGACTTGGGGGGAGCGGCGCTTCATTGTCGGTAATTGTTTTAAACGCTACACTGGCCGTTTGTAAGTGCTCAGTTACAATTAAAATTTTAGACAGTCTGGCGTAACCGATCATTACGCGATAGACGACACGCATGCCTTGCATCTTGCTCGTCGAATTGTGAGAGATTTAAATGTGCAACAGCCTATGGACGTAAAGATCAGCAGAAACATTGAGCTGCCCGCGCACGCCGTCGATGACATCTACGGTATCGTCGGAGCGAATCTGAAACGTCCGTACGATGTGAGGGAAGTGATCGCGAGGATCGTCGACGGGTCCAAGTTTCACGAATTTAAAGCGCAATTCGGCGAAACCTTGGTCACCGGATTCGCCAGAATTTACGGCTATCCCGTTGGCATAGTCGCGAACAATGGTGTATTGTTTTCGGAAAGTGCTCTGAAAGGAGCCCATTTTGTGCAGCTCTGCGCACAAAGAAAAATCCCTCTTATCTTCCTGCAAAATATCACAGGTACAATTACGTGAATGCCGTTAATGTATTTCGCTTGAAAATCGTGTCGCGCAATTATAAACCAATGTATCAATATAGGATTCATGGTGGGTAGAGACGCGGAAGCGGGTGGTATCGCTAAAAATGGCGCCAAAATGGTGACAGCGGTAGCATGCGCGCAGGTGCCGAAAATCACAGTAATAATCGGAGGTTCCTATGGAGCTGGGAATTATGGTATTTCTCTTTTAGCTATTTTAATATAATCTTTCTGAAGAGAGAAAAACAGAGTTTAATACGAATATCTAACAGGGATGTGCGGTCGGTCTTATTCGCCGCGTTTCCTTTACTCCTGGCCGAACGCTAGAATATCTGTAATGGGAGGCGAACAAGCAGCGAGCGTGTTAGCGCAAATCACGAAGGATCAACGTGCGAGAGAAGGCAAACAGGTATATATTTAATTTTTGTTTCTTGAACATGTAGATATAAATGTTACACCCGCGCCTTTAGGACTGAGCCAAGTCGCTATAATTGCGAAGATGCGCTCCCCTAACAACGAGCTGCGATTGTCACGAAGATTCGTAGCCGAATTGTCAAGTCGTACGGTTTTACTTTCCATCCGCTTCATTATCGTCCGTCTGTGAATAAACAAGTATTTTCCTACGAGTCGAGTTCATCCATTTTCGAGTGCGCGAACGATACGCGAGTGTCTCCCGGACGTAACAATGTATTTCGATTTTGCAGTGGACACAAGAAGAAGAAGATAAACTCAAAAATCCGATTATAAAACAGTTCGAGGAGGAAGGCAGTCCATATTTTTCAAGTGCTAGGTAAATTATTGTCGTTGCGTAAAAGAAGTATTAACTTTTTTTCATAAATATTCTGGTGCCTTTTAGAATTTGGGATGACGGTGTGATTGATCCGGTGGACACGCGAGTCGTGCTCGGCTTGAGTTTGTCAGCGTGTCTGAACGCGCCTATACCTGACACTAAATTCGGTATTTTCCGAATGTAATACAAGTACTGAAACATAGGAAAGTATATCTTGAAAGTACTTCGCGTTATTGTTAAGCTTTATACATCTTTTTACTGGTTTTACATGCAGCAAAAATTATATATTTTGTAAAAGAAATATTTTTCTATCGTTATAGACTTTAAATATATTTTTTGTTATATTTTACACTGCTGGTTTATCATGCTTACATGTTTGTAATTTCAGAATTCCTCTTCCGAATATACCCCCTGTGTTTTTAATAACAGAAAACATAACATTTTAACTCGAATAAAATCAGCTGTATTTTTCCCTTAGTATTGTAGGTAGTTGATTTTTAACGAGTATCAGGGGATAATTGTAATTGTGATTTAAAAAATAATCGTTCCGCGCGTCTGCTGTCGGTTTATTTATTTTACATTTATTTAACGTAATAATTAAACTGAGATTACAAATAATACGCAATTAATAATTACTTAGTAATTAATTAAGTCGCATTTTAATATTACACCTCGTCGCACGACTAGGTCTTCGTCTTTCTCCGCTCGCAAAGGCCAATTTTCATTTGGCAGTCGCTCTATTAAAAGATACGGCAGTTACTTACGATACATAATTAAAAAAAGATATAATAAAACTAGAAAGTGAAATGTTGCGATTGAAAATTCGGCGGTCGCAGAGCGGAGAAATCATACATGTTACTGTTTATTATGTTAGCGCCAAGATAGTTATTCCATTTCGTAAGCTTCCTTTCAATTCGATAATTTAATTTTATCGAATCCGCCGTCTAACATTCGATTCTCGATGAATATGTTTTCAGTATCACGCATGAACGTACTTCATTATGGACGGCCATTTTACAAAGGAGACAAGTTTCCTCTTGAGGAAAATACGCTACTTTGAAACATCGGTATCTGTAAATTTCATTCAAGGCTTATTTTGATTACGCACAGTCTACGATCACCACTGTATAATTAGTGATCCGCTGTTAGGAGACGATCGAAAATCTCTCGATTATTAGTGAGCAAATTAGCTATCATTCTCAGAGAGAAGCGATACTTCTTATTTTTCTCAGGCCGCGTCTTATTTACAATTAGCAATCGTTTGTCAGGAAACACAAATCTCATTTTCTACAGCAGTTTGTAGAAGCAGAGGAGAACCAAGATGAGAAACGAGCTCGGCGTACTATACGAGGAACCATTGAGCACCACCTCGGTGACCTTGTATTTAAACTGTTCCTTTATCTCCTCCGCGAGGAACGCTCTTTCGTGCGTCCTAATTGTCGTCGGGTCGGACTGCTCTCTGACTTCTTCGGCGATCACCGCCCTCTCCTTCGTGTGCGTTCTGTTCTTTCCCTTCCTGATGAATCCCGAAAGAACTGAAAACACAGTACGAAGTACATGTATACACGTCGTAGCAGGAGCCATAAACGTGATGAATACACGATAATTATTCAAACGTTCGTTCGCTTGGCGCGATGAAGATGCATACCTTGATCGATCATGACGTCATCCGTGGAATCGACCTTGATGAACGTCGACATGGTTACTTCGAACAATTTGTTCTTGTCGGTGCTTGACATCTCAATGGCCCGTCTCTTCCTGCCGAAACCAATTTGGCCGTTGCTGCACTCGATCTGAAGCAAACACGCGCACGCACCTTAATAAACTCTAAGAGAGAGCGAGGTAGCTGCGTCCGCCGGAGTGGAAAAATAAAGGACTATGTAAATGGAGTTAAGCCGTACCCCTGGACACTTATCCAAGCAGACGTTAACGGTGCCACGGAACTGAACGTAGGTGCTCTCCGGGAACTTGAAGGCGCGGAATTTCGCCGTGAGGAAGTCGCCGTCCACGGTGTTGAAGTTCTCGAACAGGTAGGGATCGACGGAACACCTGCGCGCAAATTATGCGAGATGCGAAACGATATTTCGTCGTATTTTTGCAACGGCATCGACGTTGATCAGTTACCCGTTAATAATAATCGTTTCCTCCTGCGTCTTGGTGTCGGTGACCAGCATGTAAGTCACCAGCAGGCCGTAGATCGGCGCTGAATCGTTGTCCAAGAATATTTCCATCTGCAACGGCGTACCAGGACTGACGTTGAGCTCGCCGGTCACCAGAACTCCGCCCTGCCTCACCCCGACGCCGAGTATCGGGACTGGTGCCGCTCCCGAAATCTCCTCTCGTATATCGATCACTCTAGAGCAGACGAATAAATTAATTAAAAATCCAGTCTACTTATAAAAGGAATATCAATAACCCTGCCCGGGAATAATTCTACAAAATTCTACAAAAACTATAAAATATAACTGCCAGAGTCTAAGAAATTCTACGTAAATTTTATAAGTGTTATAAAAATCAATATGAAAATGCTAGAATTGGAACACTTTTGTTAATTTTTGTAATATTCTACAAGTAAGCAGACGTTTTAATTCTTCAAGATTTTGTTGCTTCTAAAAATTTTTTAACTAGCAAAGTTTTGTACTAATTTTTACAAAATTGTACATTTTCATGAAATACTACTTGCAATCCCTTGAGTGTTAACACTCAAAACCTGAGTGTTTTTTTTCCATAGGGGAACAATTTCTTGATTTGACAGCATTGTAATTTGTGGTACTATTTGCTAGACATTTTTACAAAAAAATTAATGTTTCAACCAAGATAGAAAAATTTCTACAAATTTCTGTTTCAAGTCAATTTTTGTAGTTATTTATGGAAATTTTTTCCGCTAGGGAAGCACTAATTAAAAATAACCCAGCGAGAAATGCTCGTCGAGTCGACATCGATTCGACATTGTTTCGACGTCAATCAACAAATCATTTCTCGCCGGGAATACTTTAAGCTTTTGAGAGAGTTGACCTTAATCCAAGGTGAAATGAAAATTCACGATGACGTCAACGTGATGTCATACTGACCAAAGTATGACATAAATTTGGTCGATATAACGTCACATTGGCATCGGGAAAAAGAAACTTTTCGTTTCTCCTTTGGGGAAGTATTTTCTCTGGAAACTCTCGCAAGTTTAATTTCTTCTCTATACTTTTTATAGCCTTCCATCGCAGATATGATGGTTACCACGGGCCTTAAAACTCGTACACATTCAATGATTGTCAACTATTCCCTAGTAGCACAGTGCATTGGCCCAACATTGGCCAGTGCATTGACCAATGTTTGGTCAATGCACTGTGCTACTAGGTTGAACTCTATTGAATTGTCGCGCCTCGAATTCGCAACGAACGCTACGACAGGAACGGGACAGGACCGAAAAACCGCAAGGTCACAGTCGCCTACTTTCCAAAATGAAGTCATGAGGACGAACACCTGGCCGGTGTTGGCAACCAATGTTGCGTATCCAAATACGCAATTCCAAACCCAGCGGCAGTTCGCCCCACCGAGGCGCGAGAACATCGCGATTGACCTGTGACGCCGTCGCAGTTATCTCCGTAGGTAGATTCGACCCACTTTATACGGTTTTATGTAAAATCGGCGGAAGATTACGCGCCCCCCGAGCACGATCCATTTGATCGGGGGGAGGAGAAAAAAAAGATGAGCCATCCATGCGTGCTCGTCGCATTTTCCGGACGCGTAAATCAGTTCCGCGCCGGTACGGAGCGCGTGCTCCAGTTCGCGCCGACTCGTCTTTCGCTTCCGCGATGTTAGGGCAATCGGCGGGCGGGCGACCGGCGAAATCGCGGTGACAGACGAAATAACGAAGACGAATGCTCGCCGGAATGGCTAGACCGTGAAATTGCCAGGCGGCGAGGAATCCGCGACGCGGCAAAGAGCAGCGCGGTAGAACCGGGCGGATCGGGTTCTGGAATAAGAAAGAAAAAGGGCGTGTACACGGTTCGATAACAAGGTATCGGGACGGGTACATCGGGAATCATTAGTCATTGTTACGACTGTGACTCGCGTTATTTTGCACGATTCCCTCCTCGCGAATCGACGTTTCTCCCTTTTCGCCATCCCCGACGCGGAGCGCGCTTTGTTAAGTCGCTTCCTGACGCGTGACGACCTTTCGTATGCGCGATACAACGCTGTGTAAAAACCACTCAATTACCGCGACTTTTTTTCTATTGGAGGAGACACGCGATGCGTCAGTCCTGCTCGGGGCAGAAATTCACTCATTTGTCCGATCTATCGTTAGCCGGAGGAATCCTACAATCTTCATCTACAATGTGCCCTTTGCGTTTAAAGACACTCTATTTCATATGAGCAAGTCAAAACGCCTAAGAAATGTATCGATTACCAACATATTATATACGCGGAGAGAATTTTCTCTTAAAATTTACCCCGGAAATCATGTAATCGTGGGATAACATGGCATTTCAAACAACTGTAGGAGAGACTTTTGCAGTTTTATCATTCTACTAGCAAAATGTATAGAGGAAAGTCCTCTATTACGTGACAGGCTTCCAATATGAGATAGCAGGTTTTCAACATGAAAATTTTATCACAAATCTTTATTCGCAACGATTACACGATCTAACAATGAAATTTCCATTAATCCTTTGAACCTTGAAGTCCAGGTTCAAACCCTGGCTGAGGTAAATTTTTCGCAATAAATTAAAAAATTAAAATCATTTCGACACTAACACACTGTCTTGGCTCTTATATCCTTTATTACTTCGTATTTCACGTCAGAGCCTCATGAATTTTATTTTTTCCAAAGGTACATTTTATTGGCTATAAAATAGAACGTTTCTAGACCCAAAGAGCACGTTGTAGATCAGGCTTTAGAATTTAGAGCCGTCACGTGACTCAAAGTTAAGGGCGGGACTAATCGAATGTAATTATCCTTCATGAACAAACATCTCCGGAATTCGTCCCGCAGCGAACGGGCATGCAGAAGTCCTGCTCCATCTCAACAGGCAGGGACATTGCACGGGGAGAGTTTACGTCGCGTGACTCGAGCCCGGGACACGTCGCCCCTTGATAATTCAACGATAAAGATTTTCGCGACTTCCTGGTAGCGGACGGCGCGCTACCGGGCGAGGAGATTCGCGGAATTCGCGCGAGGTCCGATCCGTCGAGGTGTACGTTCGTACTAACGCCAATAAATCGCTGCCTCGGCGGCCGGCGCGATAAAAATTCCACGCTGTGTTTTCCCGAGAGCACGTCCCCGGAGGATCCTCGAAGAATGTCGTTCGGCGGAGAAGGCGAGGGATCCACCGACGGGCTCCTCCAAGGGATTTATCGCACCTCAAAAAAGTGTACAGGATGGAATGGTTGCGACACTTTTTTTTTTTAATGAATTCAGGAACTCGAGACATAGATCGGAAACGCTCAAAATGGTTTCGGAATGGCCATCGAGTAAAATATTCCTTGGAGAAGAAGATTTTGAAACGTAACCCTCGATCTAAATGCATGTTCCTAAACTCATTTAAAAAACCGTGGCGCAACCATCACTGTACATTTATTGCCGAAAATGGCAATAAATAGCTGCAGTTGTTATCTCTATTTTCTACAATAGGCGATTTTTGGCGATTGGTACATATACCAAAGTGTAGCAGAGTGTACACTCGGCGTCATGAATGCTTTTACATCTGAAAATAGCCGTTAAGTTCAATATGTTCCGATAGAAAAATTCATGTTTTAAGATAAGTTTTTCTACACGGAAAGAATTTTCTCTTAAAATTTACCCTGAAAATCATATAACTGTGGAACAACATGCCATTTTGAAGAACTTTATGAAATACTAAAAACTAATAAAATGTATGGAAAAATTTAAAAACTCATAAAATTCTTCGAAGTGCCACGTTGTCCCACGATTAAATGATTTTTAGGATAAATTTTAGGAAAAAATTCTCTCCCCCCGTGTATCGGATCTTTAGCGTCTTTCTTCAGGTGTAAAGGCATTCATGACACTGAGAAAAATGTCCAATTAAATATAATCGGATAATCCAATTACATAATAACAAACGGATGTATCCAATTAAATTGTGTATCTGATGAAAAATACGATCGATTTTTCAATCAAATTTCATCGGTAACTGCACTTCTCCGGATAAATTTCATCGGATGTATCCATAATATATTCGAAAAACGTAATCGGAAAAATGAACCATCGGAAACACTATTTAATTGGTTGATCCGATGACAATTTTTCTCAGTGTACCAAACAGTCGCCAAAAATCACCTATTGTCTATATAGATCGGTGCTTATTTCGTTTAGAACAGTTGACAATTGTGAAATTTTTTTGTTAAGCAAAACTCATTTTCCAATATTGCCCAAGTTATTGTCCCGTTAATGCCGTTTATTGCCTAAAATGTGTACACTTGTTGCCGAATGCAGCCGGACCCCTCGGACTCCTCTCTTGCCGCCGCGTTAAAATCGCTCGCTCGTGCGCGCGCGCGCCGCGGCTTTTCCACCATCTGCAGAGGAACCGTTGCGCAATGGGCCCCGCAATGCCTCGTCGTACGTCGCACCATAAAATCGACTCTCGTAATGTCACCGCGTGTCTCCCGACTACACGCGGGATGTCCCGCTATTAAATTCCACGGCGAACTTAATAAGCACTTAACGTCGGTCTCCCCTTCGGAGAGGAGATTTCGAGAGAGGCCGCGTCACTCGCGTCTCCTTAGCGCTCGGCCTCAGATTCCTTGGCGTCTGCTCAAACGGCAATTCTAGAATTCACTTGAATCCGAGGAAGAATTTGTTATTTAATCACGTCGCGGAAGCTCATTTCCATAATCAACGTTCTGCTCCTTCCACCTCTCCGCGTCTTCCATCTTGCCGTGCCAGGCCGTAAATCGCGACGTCTCCCTTTCGCCGTGCTCGGCGCAATTTTCCCTGTATCTCAATCCGCTCCTCGCCCATATTTCTGCGTATACGCCGTCGAACCGCACGTCTCCCCGCGCAAAACGCAGACCGGCCGCGAATAGCGCGAGCTCCGGATGTGAGTGACCCGTCGAGCGATTTTCGAGGTGAGGATGGAAAAGGCAGGAATGCCGCGATTAGGCCTCGCGGATTGGAATATATTACCGGCTCTCCAGCAGCTGCAACGCGCCCGTTCTGCAAATAAATCAGCCGGGGCACCGTCCCGGGACACGCTTACAAATTACACGAACTCCCGATGACGACGCCTTGCAGTGGTCTAGCTGGCTTCTGCATGCATATTCAGGTCAGACGATTTATCCGCTCGAATGTAGATCGGCCGGTCGGTCGTTTTGTAATCATCGAATTTTCCACACAATCTCGTCGTCCTCGATAAACAGTCCTTTCCCATCCCCCCCCCCTCCCCCCGTGCCACCGTCCGCTTCGTCGTATCTGTTTCGCAGATCGGTGACCAGTTTTACTTTTTCGCCGACAAGTCGCGCCGGCGCGTCCATTGGCCAGTTAAAAAAAAAGGGACACTTCGACATGCCCCAGACGATCGCCTGATTGCAAATTTAATAAGCTACGATATTCTCGCGGTTAATACCCGTTCTGCGAAGCTAACGGCGTAAACGAGATCTACGCTTGCGATGACGCGGGAAACGATAACGCTTATATTCATCCATTTGGGTGGCGTGGACTGCGACGAGAATTGCGCTTCATTATACTCGGTGATCACGAAATTATTTATTACGTATCACCGTCGAGATGCGAAGCGGCGATATCAGATTCTCTCCGACGGGACGCTGCCTCGGGGACGAGCGGAAGGAGGCATGTATCATTCAGCGAATTATATCCTCGCTTTGCATTTAGCAAACATAGTTATTTTTAAAAGTAACCAAAAAGAAAATCGGTCGGGAAGAAGAGCCGCCTCGAGCGAACTAACGCGAGTGAATTTTCCTGCCTTAATTAATATAAAGCGACTGGCCAGTAAGAGGCGTCGCTTTTTTGCACGACAGTAAAACTGTGGTTACGCCGACCCGACGAGATGCGATTGGACCTGAGCAAAACGATTGTCGTAACCGTTTACGATTCTGTCGGAAGACTTAAGTCGGAAGTCAACGCACAAAGAATTATCGTAGACGTTTGTCGCACGCATCACATCGCAAGACTAAGAAGAGCCTGAGTAGTACGATTGTCGTAATCGTTTAAGATTCTGTCGGAAGGCTTAAGTCGGCGTCGGAAGTTAACTCACAAAGAATTGTCGTAGACGTGTGTCGCATTCATTGCATCGCAAGACTAAGGCTTGAGCAGAACGATTGTCGTAATCGTTTAAGATTCTGTCGTAAGACTTAAGTGTCGGAAGTCAACGCACCTAGAGTTGTCGTAGACGTCTGTCGCATTAGTCGCATCTCAAGGCGACATACGTCCACGACAATTCTTTGTACACTGACTTCCGACACCGACTTAAGTCTTGCGACAGAATTGTAAACGGTTACGACGATCTTTCTGCTCAGGCCCATTGTCGCGTTCGCCAAAATGGCAGATCTAGGCTTCCGTACGGAGAGAAGTTTCTCTCCCACACTCGCGCGCGCGCTAGTAGGCGCGACTTCCGGGTAATTAAACCCACTCCGTTTGCCCGTGTGCCGAGGGATCATTTCGTACGAGGCGAGTGTGAGAGAGTCTTGTCTATCGCGGCGGTACGACGCGATTAACACCGTCGGATGACTGGCGAGAAATGAAAAGCCGAGGTCCGAGAGAATCTCCCGGGAGCGCGCCAAGTCAATCTAATAGATTTGATAAATATCACGCTCATTAGCGGGATGCGCCTCCTCGCGATTTCTTCCATTTATCGCTGCCCAGAACTCACTCCGTACCTCCCGACTTTATTGCGTGTTATTACTCGCGCCGCCGGTGAATTACGCATATTTATCGCGGCAACAAAGCGAGCGCGATTGCGCCCGCGTCATGACGGACGCCGGATACTCGGTGTCGTAATATCAAACGCCTTAATGTCGAATGATTGATGACTTACTCGGGTTCCTGAAAGCCCGCCGGAAGAACGCTCCGCCGTACCGCCGTATGATTGCCCGCGACGGCGATTTCTGGCTCCACGACGACTTCGGTGATTACGCATTTCACCGTGAACATGTGCTTGCTGGAATCCGCGGGCTCCTCCACTATTACCCGATGATAGTACATCTTTTGACCCTGCGTCATCAAAATTCATAATCCCGATACAACGTTGTACCTCATGTTATGTAAATGCGGGGTTTCCCCGTGCGACCTTACGGCGGAATGTATGTGCGCAGGCGTTTAAAGGCCTGTGTCCACGATGCTCTAGAACTTGGTCCAAGTTCCAGTCCCGAGAAATGTGTAACCAATCAACGTGCAGCTATCCCATAAGAGCTTGGATCAAGCATCGTGGACACAGACTTTAACGCGCGCGACGGACCCCAGAATTGAATCGCGAGTTTTTGCGTTAGATAAAATTACGGTTTACCGTAACTTTGTTGAGGACCCTCGTGATCCCGCACCGTAACATGTCCTGTTCCAGCAGCGATAATTTAAACGTGGCTACGCCATCGTGAAGCTGCGGCTTGCAAGCCTCGTCTGCGAAGGCAGAAATTCGACGTGTGAGTCATAATTTTGATTTACGCCTAAGCGCCCAACGTCAAACGTCTCAACATACTCACCCGGAAAATGCTTGAATTGTTGGAGATATATCTTCGCCTGCGGACTACTCCTCACTATATCCACTTCCATCCACTGCTTGGTACATCTCACTTTGCTTTGCACTGAAACGTAAACGTAAATATTTTGTAAGAAACATGGAAACACTTTTGCGGAGTGTGTATGATTTCTGAGTTTATTTTCAAACGAGTTTAAGAATAAGAAAGATCGTGTACAGCATTCGGATTTTTTAAATGTAAATGTTGAATTAGTTTGAAAGCCTTACGCTACTTCTTTCGCCTCGCGATCTTTAGAGTACACGACCAGTTTAGCATTAATCATACCGCTCGAATCGATATTTAAAAATATGTATCTCGACAAGAGAGATATTCAAGACGATTTATGATTGTGCTTTATAGAAGGATGAGCAGGGGTTGGCCGTATCCGCAAATAACTAAGTTGCCTGTATATACCACAGTAATTGCCCCATAAAGTCGTAAACGTCGCGACCTTGAAAAGCGAAGAGCGCGGCGATGCGCTCGGGAAATATGTGGCGGCGTACATTATTCGCGGAATACCATGATAGATACTTTCACCGTTACCGGGTGACGTCGAATCACGTATCGAGAGAAACGCGTCCCGATCCTTAAGGCTGTGTCCACGATGATAGCACTTGGACCAAGTTCTAGCATCGTAGACACAGGCCTTGAGGGAAATTCAACAGAGGATAGAAACAAAAGGACTATATGGGACTAAAGGGAAGGATAGAAGGATATCCTTAGGAAGGATGGAAAGTTTGAACAATTTTTCCCAAGTGGCTCGGGTTGCGTCCTTTCCCATGTGCAGAGCTCTCTTTCGCCAAGATGCAGGAGAGACTCTTGACAAAAACTGGAATACCGCGAACGACATGTAACATCGAGGAGCGTGCCCTCGCGAGCGTCGAAGCAGGAAGCGGCGCGAGGACAATCCCGGGGATATCGTCGCTGGTATAATTCAACATTAATCACCGAAGACGCGTGAGCTGGCAATATTTTCCCCGCGCTTAACGCACGCGCCTCGCAGCGCAGCTCGACGCACATCGGGCAATAATTCACGATGAGGTATCATCGTCACGTGCGCAACGCGCAACCGTTGGGGAAACGTGGCGAACGTCCCTCCGCGACGAGGTGACCGAGGTGAGGACCTGTACAGTTTCGCGCGATGTATCCGATCCTCGGCTGCGTCCTCGGAATAAGCGGTCGAGCAACCGCCGGCCGAGCCCTCCGTCATGTCGCGATTCCCGATAATGAATGACAGAGCGAACAATCGTGGGCTGTGACGTTTTAATAACGCTCCGTAGACATCGCCGGTATCATTAATTTTCTGCCGGACGCTTCAGGTAGGCATCGGCTTGCTCGAGACAAGCCAATTAAATTAAACTACTCTGTCCTCTTTTTTACTAATCCATCGCTTACGTATACTTGTAGCTTGGTTACATAGTTTCGCGGAATACAATGCGGGTCTAATGTCGCGATAATGGGAGGCTAACTAGTGCAACTGGCAGTTATGACGATCGATTGGGAAATAAGACTCCCCGAGGTGAATTTTTACGTGGTTTAGCAGCTCATTTGATCGCTCGAGGCGATACCAGAGTCCAGAGGGATAGAAAAGAGGCCTTCACGCATGTTCCGCGCGCGCGGTCCGCAGGAGTCGTCTCGCTCGCGCGGCAAAGATAAACAAGCGCCACGTCGGCTGACAGACGCTGAACGACCGGTAGAATGTTTAATATACATTGTAGGCGAGCGCGCGCATCAGGAAGTGCACGGGGAGACTGGTGCTTTCTTTTATTTCCCCGGCAGACAAATTGATGTTCAGCGGCAGCCGGTCGGGAGTCCGGCGCGCTCGCTGCGCTCGGATTGCAGCACTCCGGAGGATTAGCAGGTACTATCTGACAGGCGTTGATCAAGTCCTCCGAGTCCGCGAGCCTCCGCGAGCCTCCGCGCGTCGACGTCGCCGACGACGGGGACCTGGAGTGACACCGACGATAAGGCCGCGGAAATCACCGGGGGTACTTTACGTCGCTTTAACGGGACCACACGTCTCCCTGGCCGGGCCTTCTCGGAAACGTAGGAGAGATTATCTCGAATCTCGAGCGTTTTCTCATCTTTATCCACGCGATGCATTCACGTCACGCACGGGGACGGCCGCCGCGCGAGGACGGTCGAAGGGCACTTCCTCTCTTCTCCACTCGTTGAAATTGTTCCGTCCGCTTAATATGCGCCAACTAGTTTTCATCAGCATGCTCGCTCGCTCGCTCGGCGTCGACGGCCAGCAGCGTGACGCGACGACGTCGCGCGTTTTTCTCGGTATTCACGGCGGAAAGAGCCACTTTCATTTTTTTTTTCAGCGCAAGCCGTCACCTCTGACACAAAACGTGTCGCGAATATTCATCCCCCCGCGCTAATGACTCTCCGCCGATCGTCACCCCGTGGCCGCCGTCCCATGCGCTTATTTAAGCGGACTTTATGCAACGTCTGTCAGTCAGGCCGTCCCGCGCGCGCAGTTAACGCGTAAATTACGTGACTGCGCAGCGTGTCGCTTTTAAACATCCCTACGAAGCCACGGCGGTCTTTTCCATTAGCAAGTTTAAACGTTCTCGCGGAGGTAGCGAAGGCGCGAGTCGCGGCTGATCTTCTGCCGATCTCGGAGAAGGAGGTCCGTGACCTTAGCTTCCCTTCCCCGGCCGCCGCTCCCCGCCGAGTTACCACTCTTCTACTTCTTCCTCCTCTTCTTTATCTTCCCTCACCCACTGTTCTTCCCTTCTTCCCGAGCTTGCCGCGGCAACGTGGTTTTTCCTCGGCGTGGTCACCGTCTTCGAAAGCGGCGATCCAGTATTACGCTTCCGCGTCTGCATTGTTCCGCCAGAAAGCTATAAATCGGCCGCTGGATTGGAAATAGTCGGGGCGCGAAAGAAATTCTGGGGCAAGAAGGCTTCGGCGTTATAGAAATTTAATAGCGACGCTATTCCGTCGCTCCCGATACGAGAGAAAGAGAGAGAGAGAAAAAGAGCAAGAAAAGGGCTTGAGAAAACGTACTTTGATTTACTCCGCGCATCTTTTTCCAATCCTAGCCTCAGAGATGACGGATTAATTAAACCGAGGCTGAAACTAACTTGAGCTGATGACGCCAGCCTTGAATCAATCAGAATGTATCAGGGGTAGAGCCAGAATTCCCTCGCGTATTATCCTCCGCCGCTCTCTGCCCGCCCCGATCGCGAATGTAAATTCGCATCTACTCCGCCCGAGATTATTCGCGCTCGCGTATTATCGGGCGTAATTATCAGCTTCAAATGTGGTGCACTCGCTAATCCCTCGATCTCGGCCCGAGGTCCGTGAACCTGACCCTCTTCCCTCGCCTTCTTCCACGTCTCCGTTCGCGCCCCTTTCGTATCCTTCCTTGTTATTCGACGCTTCTTATTTCTTCCTGCGCTCTTCCTCCACCATTAAACTCGAGAAGGTACTACATACTCTATACCTCCGGTCCTCTCGTCGATCCTGGGAGAGTTCCGCTTCTTCTTCCTCCCCCCCCCCCCTCCGCTTCTTCCTCCTCCTTTGCAGCGCGGTTTCCGTACTACCGGCCACCCCCCGTCGTCTTTCGCGCACTTGGACGCGCCTTCTTCAGCTCGCAAGATTAAGATTTCCGCAAGATAACCGATAATGACCTCCCGACTGATGAGGAAGATTCGCGACCCTTCGACCTCCTCTTCTGCTTCGTGTGTGCCTTCAACGCGCGGGCTCCCGCTTTTCGTGTATACGCTCGCGCGTACAGGACACGTCGCTTAATTCGCAGGACCAAAGTGAATTTTCCACCGATCCCCCGTGACCCGGTTCACGCGACCCACTCTCCTCTGTCCGCTACCATTATCTTCTACGCGGTTTTTGCCCGACGAGCTTACCGCGCCGCCACTTTACTTTCGTTTTTGCATTCCCGTTAACGCGCCTAAATCCTCTCAAGAGTAACGAGTCCATCGCGCCGTAAAACGCCGCGTTATCTTTAGACTCGAACCATTCCCAGGGTACAAATCATAACTGCTTGATCCTAAGAGGAGTACCAAGTGCTTAAGGTTTCTCCCTTTTTCTTCCCCTCCCCTCGGCTCGCCTCGATTTCCATTTTCTGTTTATATTTTAGTGATAAAACGCAATATTGCAATAAAAGCAGCGATCGGCTACCCAATGACCGGTTTCGTCGCTGATAACAGTGCCAATCTCCGGGCTCGATGACACTTTATTATTTCGTTTCGGTTTAGCGCGGAATTCGCGAGCGGCTGCCTCGTTGCGCTACCGAGGAAGAAGCGGAGTAAATTGCGCCAATTTACGATCGCCGGAATTACAATAATTTGTAGCCATTACTGCGAAGTGTTAAGATGAGAACCGAGATGAATAATTACGCTTCTGCGCGGCCGTGCGTTCGGGCACCCGCGAAGATCGAACACGCAGGATCGGCGCGCCGCGGTCCCGCGTGCAATAACGTCTTTTCCGCTTTCCGCGGCGGGGGCAAAAATCAAGGCGCGCTGCCTGCCTATTACGCTTGAATACTTCGTTGTTGTCGGAAGCGATTAAGCCACAAATAACGCAAGATCGCCAACGTTAGATCGGCCGGTCCCGGGGCACAAATATTCGCGCAAGAAGGCAGACAATTTCTTCTTCCCTCCCTTTCGCGAGGGACAGTTACTCTCGTACCGGCCGCGCGGAAAAATGAAACGGATCTTCCGTTTTTTTTTCCCCTCTCGTATCGAAAGCGAACAAACCGAACAACGGTATAAACGCGAACGGTCGCGCATTACAGCAATCAATTAATATTCGCGGAGAGTTATCGCGTATGCGTGCTGGCTGCGGATAACAGTAACCGAATGATCGGGCGGGAAAAAAGATGGACAGCGCTCGCAGGTTTTTCGCGCGTTGCGAGCAAAGCCGAGGCAGGATACCCTTGTACAGATGTGACACACCGCGTTAACGTTATCTGTTAACATTATCTATTGTAAATTAAACATGAATCGTCGTCGGCGCGAACCGGATCGGTGGCACCGCAAAAAGCGAACGCGTCGCGCAAATAGAAACGCGATAACGACTGCGGGAAACATAATCTC